TATTTGCAATGACTTGATGAATTCAGTCAGCTCTTGATAAATAACTCAGTCCAATCTGTCATGGATGATGTTTCCTTTTTTTTCTTTCCATTTTTATTCTTTATTCACCATTATTTGCAATTCTTGTTGTCCACTTATCAGTCAGCTCTTTGATATCTTTTGAATAACTCAGTCCAATCTGTCATTGATGGGGAAGACTTGATTTTCTGTTCCATTTTATTCCATTCTTTATTCACCATTATTTGCAATGACTTATTGTCCTTATCTAGTCAGCTCTTTGATATATTTTTGAATAACTCAGTCCAATCTGTCATGGATGATGTGGGAAAATCCCTTTTTCTTTTCTGTTCCATTTTATTCCATTCTTTATTCACCATTATTTGCAATGACTTGTTGCCAATCAGTCAGCTCTTTTGATATCTTTTTGAATAACTCAGTCCAATCTGTCATGGATGATGTGGAAAGACTCCTTTTTTCTTTTCTGTTCCATTTTTTATTCCATTCTTTATTCACCATTATTTTAATGACTTTAAGTCATTTTGTCAACCAGCTCTTTGATATCTTTTGAATAACTTGGCAGTCCAATTTGTCATTGGATGATGTGGGAAGACTCCTTTTCTTTTCTGTTCCATTTTTATTTTTTATTCTTTATTCACCATTATTTGCAATGACTTGTTGCCATTAGAAAAATCTTTTGTGTAATTTCCTCTAGTTTTGGCAAATTGAAATCAAAATTTGAAGGAATTTCAAAAATTTTCTCCATCAAAGAATTTTGCAGTGACGCAAAAATTTTAATTATCGATCATTGAAAAGTCGGGTGTATATAGCAGGATAAATAGAAACAAACAAATCAAGATCCCTATTCTTTTCCTGCGTTGTTCTTGCATTGTCATCACTTTTTATACCGACATCAGGAACATCACTTTTTATACTGACAAGCGCAGGGGTGCTTTTCGATCAAGCTTTTATCACCATGTTGCTGCTGCTGAAAGTATAAATGTGCATTTAGCGTTTCACTGCTTTTGAAACCTCTATAGAAATAATTCAGGATGATCTCATTAAGTTTCTTCAATGGTGCTAAGCTTTAAACATTGGTTGTGGGGATCCTTGTCAATCGATTGTTTTTTTAAAACTTGTATACAACCTATTTTTCATCACATGTTACAGCTACATATATAACAGTGTCCAAGAAATAAAGTGAAAACTTCTCTCGACAGGATTGTTTTAATTTTATCTTCTTCCTTTTATGTCAGAATGCCTCTTACCACTTTCCATCCATTCTAAAGATAACATAAGTCAAGTAATATGTGTTTGTCTGGCCCACACCAAGTGGGAAAATGTAGGGATAAAGAATTGAAATGGTACATCTAACTCATCATGTCTTCTTTCCCTCTCACTTCCCTCACTTCCTTCTCTCCCCCTCACTTCCTCACTTCGTTAATTTGCATATGCTTAATACGGCCCGTCAAAAATGTGTAAATATTTTTTTTCATTTTCATTTCAACCTTTGGAAGTAAAGTCTGATGATCCAGAGCCCTTTAAAAGGGCTGTGGTGAAATAATTTATTACATGGAACCTTAAAGTGGTCTGTTTTTATTCAAACATATTTATCTAATTTACATTGAGCTCTCCGGATATCATCCTATTTGGGTCTACCTATACAGATTACCTAGTTTTGCATAAACTATATATATATATATATATATATATATATATTTGAAGAACAATTATTAGGAGAATACATTCATCATTAACAAATGGTTTGTGAAAAACAAAGATCACTCATAACTCTGATTCGAATATTGAGGGCGAATTTAAATATAATGAATATTTAAAGAAATTTATTTGAAAAAATAGTTTTTATAAAATTTTGAAATTTGAAAATTTTTTCATTTTTTTTATCTTTAGTTTTTTGATTTGTTTTTAATTTTTATTTTGGTTTGCATTAAATCAACCTCAATGGCTTTGGCTTTGGCAAAAAAGATGAATCACAGGATTTGTAGGATAGGTTCTATAAATACAATATGGTTTAGTTTATTTTGTTTTGGGTCATACTTTAAGATTTCCATTATTTAATGCCAATAAAATTTTTTCAACATTATTCGGATAATTGTCCTCATTTTCAATTATCCATATTTATTGTACTTTTCTTATTATCTATTAATAAAAAAAAAAATAAAGCAGGTTCCTTGGAAATTTAACTGAACCCTTTAAGATTTCCCCTCTCACTGGGGTAGACTGTTCTACTTCCATGTGAAACATTTGAAAAGATGTCAGTTATCAGTTATCTTATAAATTAATTTGGCCGCATTCTTTGAAAGTTCTCCACTGCCTTAACCGTTTATTGAATGTTTCATTCTGTAAACACTTTTGGGTCAACACTAATTCTCAAGGACACATGGCACAGTGGAATAGAAGTTTAGTTATTCAAACAAAAGGGTTAGTTTACATACCTGTCCCCATTTGTGAAAGCCCATAGATTTTTTCTTATTTTATAATTTCATAGTGTTTGAGGTGATCTCTTTTGGGCGGTTAACTATATTCCCATAGCTGGGACCTTGACAGATGTTACCACCCCAGGTCAGGATAAATCTGGGAACACCAGCAATTAAGAGGTGGTCCCTTGCTTCTCAAAACCTCCTGATCAGAATTCTTGCTGCCAGATGTTTTGTTGACAACTTTGTTCCATTTACATAGATATAGTTTATTGTTGTAAAATAAAGATGGCCAAAAGAATAAAATTTTAATATTTAGATTTTAGTGGACATTAAATGGGGGATTGGCTTTCAGTTGTTATTAAGTATTAAAATGATCACTCTGTTTAATACAAATTTCAATAACCAAAGTAAAAATATATTTTTAAAGGTTCATATGTGAAAACATCGTTTTCGAAAAAAACTTTAAAAAATTGACTGATTTTTATCAGTATCTGTAAACTCGTATTAATATAAGTATTTCCTCGACATAAAATGGGGCATAGGTTTTCTATTTTATTAAATACTAGCAGTAGAGCCTGGCGTTGCCCGTGGATGTAACAGTAAGAGATAGATCAAGTATCGGCCATCATAAAGACTGAAAAATAAAATTGACAAAGATTATTGTTTAAGGTTGACAGACACGCATGTCTTAATTAGTTTTATTTATTTTTTTTACGAATTGGTCAAACCCAAACTCATACAAAAACATTGTTTTCAATCGTTATGAGTCTACCGATTGAATAGAATTTTATTTTATTATAAAC